AATCTACTTTAAGCATCAGGTTCCTGCCATTAACAGGTCATCCAGCACACAGCAAGCAGCGGGACTATGCGGTTCGGGCATGGCAGGGCGGCATCACACTGGCTCGGTCACTCTCATCTCAGACGGGTCTCTTGGTGTCTTGGAACCTTAGTTTCCTTTTCTCGAAAAGTGAAGATTATGGGTGCATTACACGTTGGGATGAAGAGGCTTGCTATTCCCCTAAAGTTGTGGAAGCCCACAGGGGCAATTCCACCCCTCCTACAGGGTCGGTGTGAGTGGGAATCGATTCGATGGCGGTGAGAGTTGAGTTTTTACACTTTGGGACTGTTATGGCTGGAGCCTCTAGCGCCTGTGGCTCCGCCTTGCTCTTGGGGGTCCCATGAGTCTCACCAGTCCCAGCTCAAGGGATAGATACGAGGAGAGGGGACAGCCATATGTTCTATGGCTAATCTCACTGCTGGAATTTAATGGGAAAAGGAAGACGTGATTCAACACAAAAGCATGTACAATTCAAACAACAAACATATACTGGGCTGGGCACCAGGGATAGAGAGAAAAATCGAACCTCATCGTAAAAGAAATAAGAGTCAAAGGTGTGGGAGAACAGTCAACACCAATGACAGTACACATGCAGTGGAAGCTGTGGGACCAGACAGGTGTGGCAAGGGAGCTTCAGGAATACACAGGATTCTCAACACACACCCCACACACACCCTGCCAGGGTTGAGAGTGAACTCCATTTGCTACATGCTCTGCGCCAACTGCTTTCCCAGAATTAACAGGTCAGGTGTGTGGGACAGGAGAGTCTGGTCTGCAACAAAAGTGGGTTCATCCAGCAACAAATGGCCACGGAGACTGCATGCTGTGATCCCCACAGCGAGGAGTAAGCCACGCCCTCCTCTTTCCCTAACACAACAGTCTGGCAGTTGCTACTCTCTACTTCCTGGAATGCTGCATCCATCTGCCTTCTGCCCCAGTAAGTGGCCCTGTAGCCAGGGAAACAGCCCTGAATCTCACTCCTTAAAAGAAAACAGGGAGGTTTCTCAGGGCGGAAAAAATTACAAAAACAGAAATGTGCTGTTGCCCTGAGTCCACTATCCTTCAGTGACACGTAATGTTGGCTCCCGAGAACCTCCACGGCTCCCACCACTGAAAGCCCACTGAGGTGGCGAAGACAGCAAGCAGTCGATCCCAGGGGAAGCTATGGCGTGCACTAATCAAGGAGTGAGTGGCCAGACAGCACTTTGGAGGGCAGTCTTCAAGGTCTGACAGCAGTTCTCTGGCTCACTGGTTGCATGGCCCTTTTCTGATGGGTGGTCCTGATGCCTGTCCCCTTCTGCTGCACTCCAGGGATTAGGTGCCAGGTGCAGCCAAGTCAGGAGCTCAAAGGCCTATGGAAATACTGACAGTCAGTCTACTGACCTCATCTTCAAAATTCATACTGTAGCACTTTGAAGAGGAGAGCAAAATGAAATAAACAGGACTTCTCTCCTGGCGGACTAGCAGGTGGCTGGTTAGATGTGTCCTTGTATATTTCCTAATAGTTGAGTGTGGTGGTCAATGGCATGGACTTGGGAACCAGACTGCTTGAGGCCCTGCCACTTCACTGTGGAACCTGCAGAAACCATTTCACCTCCCGGTGCCTCTGTTTCCTATGTGTCAATGAGCATAACGACAGTACCTGCCTCAATCCACTAATACATGTAGATATATTACAGAAGCACTGGCGAGAGCCAGAACACGATGGGCTACCTGTTTTTCCGGGTCTCACAGGTTTTGTGACTTTGACAGGGTATAGATAGTCTTACCACTTTTCTATCTCTTGTGTTAGTAGGAGGTCTGAGTTTTTCTTCTTTGACGAGTTGACCAAGGGTCCAGTTGTCACAGGTGTCACTGTGTTTTTATTTAGTCTGAGCTAGAAAGAAAAACCCAGCTGGCCCACACAGTCTGGGAGTTAGGTGAGGAGGTCCGTGTTTCAAGGGAGTCCTGAGTAGGTGTGTTCCATACTAGCCTCTTAGAGAAGCTGTGGGGGGTTGTTTTCACTGTAACAAAGACTCAGACAACAGGGAAGACTTGGCCACCCTGGAGCAGGGCCCTGGCAAGCCAAGCCCAGCAGTCTGGGGCACTGCCCTGGCCTGACACTGCCCCACTGGCTGGAACACAGCGCAGTATTCCTTTGGGGGAGAATGACCAAAAGTTGCACAGTGGACCTTGCCCTGTCATGGATGGATCCCTTCGACACCCCTATTCCTTGTGCTCTCGCATGACAGTTTACTCAGGGCGATCCCTGAAAGTTAAAATACTACTGGCAGTGAGGTCTATGCACCATGGAAGATTCAAAATTCATCCTTCCAGATCCATGCATAGTTCCCAGCAATCCAAGAAACAATAACAGTTCAAAGATGGAAAATCCATTTGATAAAGAATTTCCAAGCAACCTTTGAAAAAAGCTTCATGGCTCACAGAGAATCACAGAGCTGGCAACAACTGCAGAGACCAGTGGCTTCCAAACTCGCTTTTGACCTCTGAAGCTGCTGCTTTTTTTTTTTTTTTTTGGGGGGGGGTGTCATTTTATTCAGGGTTTTACAACTCTTATTACAATCCATACACCCACTGTATCAGGCATATTTGTACATATGTTACCATCATTTTCTAGACAATTACTTTCTATTGAGCCCTTGGTATCAGCTCCTCTTTGTTTCCCCTCCCTCGTGACCCCTGATAGATAATAAATTTTATTATTTTCATATCTCACACTGACCACTGTCTCCCTTCCCCCACGGTTTCCCTTGTTCTTCCCCCTATAGAGGGGGTAGGTGTGTGGTTGTGTGTTGATCATAATGATCGGTTCCCTCTTCCTCGCCCTGCCCTTCTAATCTGGTATCACTCTTCCCATTCCTGCTCCTGGGTTGTGTGTGTGGTGAGCTCTTATCTCTTATCTACACCTGTGCACAGGCTCCGGTCTAGTCCGAAGTGAGAAGCATCACTGGGGTCATGGTGGTGGTGGGTGAGGAAGCCTCAAGGAACCAGAGGCATATTGGGTGTTTCATCGGTGTTTTAATGCACTCTGGTTGACTCATCCGTTCCCTGTGACCCCTCTGGGGTAGATGTTCCACTGCTGTCTACAGGTGGGCTTTGGGTCTCTGGTCCGACCACCCTCATTCTCAACCATATGGTTTTGTTTGTTTGTTAAGGGTCTTCTGATGCCTGTTCTCCAGTCCTGATGACACCTCATGATCGCACAGGCTGGTGAGCTTCTTCCACGTGGGCTTGTGGTTTCTCTGCTGGATGGCCACTTATTTCACTTCAAGCTTTTAAGACCCCAGATGCTGTATCTTTTAATAGCCAGGCACCATCCGCCTTCTTCAACACATTTGCTTATGCACCCATTTTTGTCTCCAGTGATTGTGCTGGGAGGTTGAGCCTCTCAGATCGCTAATTTGTTAGAACAAAGTGTTCTTGTATTGAGGGAGGGTATGAGCAGACGCCTGAAGTCCGTCCACTACCTCAGGGTATTGCCATATAAATATATGTACATAGGCCAATACCTCTGTTTTTATGGGTTAATGTATTTACATATGGACACGCCTCTGCTTATACCTCTATCCACAGCTTTGTTTCCTAGATCCTTCCTGTTTCCTTTTACCTTCCTCCTGCCCCACCGTCATGCTCACCCTACTTCTGCCTCATGGTACTTCCTCTCAGCTAGATTGTTGTTGCGCCAGCGCACGCCCCACCCCCACCCCCTAGGATCTCTATATCCTCCTCATTATTGATTTTTATTCCCTAGTTGTTCCCCTGTCGATCAAAGCCACTGCTTACAGAAATTCACCCAGAAGCCTAGTTCACAAAACCAGTTTAATCTGTGCTTCTCTGGAGAAAGCACTGCCCAAATGGTCGGCTTAGCACCTCAGCCCTCTCCAAGGTGGCTCCAAGCAACCCTGAGGCTCCACAAAGCTCCATCTAGGAAACCAACCATCTAGGCCAGCTGCTCTGGTAGCTATGGGAACGTGAGTCCCAGAGAAAGAGAGTAGTGAGTGTTGCCATTCTCTAAAGGCAACCTTCGTTTTCTGATTCCAGACAAACACTTCCCGCTTTACTTTGCCAAGACGAGACTATGGAAAATTGCATTTTAAAGGATACAAGGCTCATTTCTGATCACCTACAACATAATCCTTAAGTATTTTAAAGGCTTCTGCACTAGCCAAGTATGAAACAGGGCCCAGCCGCACTGACTGGCAGGGGAAAAAAAAGTTCGGAAATGAGTTGCAGAAGCACATCTGACAATTCCACACAGTTCCTTCAGTTCTGTGGGACATAAACAGGTCTTGAAAGGCTTGGGTTATGTGGCTGTGCGAGACCCTGGGCCAGGAGGTGAATGCTAATGAGCTATGGAAATAGCAATTACTTCCCCCGTGTCAGGCACTATGCCAAGCTAAGGAGGATACAGAGGGCGGGGATATTTTTAAAATATTTTTACAGCAGAAAAACTTTCCTACAGACTCAATTATATAACGATCAGACTCCACCTCTCAGCTGAAACTACCCATGGCCTTCAGGAAGGGGAAGAGACAAAAAGCCCACCAGCTCTCTCCTCGACCTGACAGTCACAGGTCTCTGCAGAGGAGCTCTCAGCTCCATGGCCAGCGACCCACCGCAGCTGAGAATCATCGGCCTAGAGGCCTTCCTTCCCACGAGCAATCTGGAGCCTTCCAGAGCAGGAGAAAGGGCAGAAGTCACGCCGCTGGCCCAGCTGTAGCGCACATCATTTAGCACCCAGGAACCTCCACTCCAGAGTGCTTCCCAGCCCAGCCATGGCAGTGTCCCCTGAAATGGCCGAAGTCACTGTGGGAGAAATGATGGGCTCAGGGAGCATTCTTCTGTCATTGACAAAGGGCAGGGAGTCACAGCAAGTCCTCTGGGACCCGAGGAAGAGAACAACTCCACCAATGAAACGGCAGCCCACACTCAAAGAAACAGATTCAGGGAGATTCACTTACAGCCCAGGTCTTCGTCAGCCTGAAGATGGGTGCGCTTTGTAATGCGGACACCACAGACATGAGAGAATGAAGGTTGTTGAGTTCTAGAAGTTTCTGGGGGGGGAAAGACATGGGATAGATTATTTTGCTGCCATAAGCAACAGAACAAAAACATGTCCAAGTGTTACCAAATGTTGTCATATTTATGACATTCAATTACACATAAAAATATCTCGTGTAGAAAATATAGTTCTAGGAAGTTCATAGAAACCATATGCTCATCTTCCCTCTCAAATCGTCCAAACGTGAGTCTGCATCTAAAACATTTGCACAATTTCATAAGCTGACTGGTCAGGTTGCTAGACAGAAACGTGGCTCGGGATGAGGCTTGGTGATGTGCTTTTTGTTCTTTCTGTAGATGCATCTGAACACCATGCGCCTCAGCAGGCTTTTGTAAGCTAAAACCCTGGCCATGCCAAAAATATCAACATGGGTTTTCTGTGGTTACCTTTGCACCAGGAATGAGAGCGGTTGAGGAGAGCTGTTATCAATCTTCATAGTCCCTCTCCTCTGGGAAGACAATGCCTGGCTTCTCAATCACTGGACCGTGCTCCTTTGAACCAGGCCCCAAGTTAGTGAGCACATTTGGATTCAATTCAGTCTCAGACAAGTTCCTCACCACGGAGGGCAACAGAATGAGACACAGTCGAGAGTAAGTGGAGAAAAATGCGATGGCTGTTCTTGGGGGGGCGGGGGGGGGGGGAAGCTTGCTAACAGGCCTAGGATCCTTGTCTCATTCTTCAGAGTCAGTAAAGTTTGGGTTAGCAAGCAGGCTCTAATTAACCAAGAGATCTCTGTTCCAATCCCAGCTCCCACGACTTGTGTGTCCTTTGGCAAGTCACGTAATACTACTTCTGAGCCTTGGCATCCTTCTAGTTACCCGGTGGAGGGACTCAGGGCACCTGCCCTGTAGGAGATGGTCCGTGCAAATGGTCCGCCCAGGCTCTGGCAGCAGAGACGGTGCTCAGTATGATGTGGGTCTCGTTATTCTGTCTGGAAGACTCTTTCCCCTCCATCACTTGTCTGTCTGGGGCACTTTCAAGTTCAGATGCCATTTCCTCTCATCAGCCCTTCCCCCAAGTTAGGAAGGCTAGGGACCCCTCCGCTGTGTTCCCACAGCAGTGTATGTACACCCCAGGACAGGGGAGTGCATTTGGTTCTTCTGGCCTCTCTCTATGTCTTCCCTGAGACTGGAGATGAGATTTCATCTGTCATCATACCACTACCTAGCCACGTGCCCACACATAATAAACCCACACCAAATCCACTGCCCTAGAGTGGTGTTTCTGACTGACAGTGACCCTAAAGGGCAGACAGACCTGACGATCAGACTCCACCTCTCAGCTGAAACTGATTCCAAGGCCGTAAACAGTCAGTACAGCTGCAAAGTGTCACATCTTTCTCCTTGCAGCCCCCCTGGGGATTGCACACAGATGACCTTTCAGTAGCAATTGAGTTCATCAGCCAGGACGCTACCAGCACTTCTTTCAGCACATAATAGGACCCAGGAAAGTGAATTGCTGGAAGTGTAGTGGTTACAAGTTGGGCTGCTAACCGCAAGGTATGCAGTTCAAAACCATGCCACTCCTCGAGAGAAAGAAGGGGCTTTCCACTCCCAAACAGAGTTAAGAGTGTCAGGAACTCACAGGGGCAATTCTACCCTGTCCTATAGGGTTGCTCTGAGTCGGCATCGGCTGGCTCGGTGGCAGTGAGAGAGAGAGAATAAAATGAATACATGAATGAAAGACTTTATTATGCCTGGTCCTCATAGTTTTGTTCCTACTCAGAAAAGTCTCTGTTCAGGGCCTCTGTCCTTTCTGATCCCAGTCTCTCTGGGTGCTAGCTGCTCTCTAGCCCTTCAAGGGCTGCGGTTGGTGCATAGGACACCTTCGGCACCCCCTGTCCCCAAGCTCTCCCTGCCTCTCTTCTGTGAGTTCTTTGTCTTTTATGTGCCCCTACAAATACCCTTCTCCCAATAAAAGCTGGTGTGTATTCTCCCCAAAACAACAACAAAAAGAAATGTCTTCTTTACCACACAGATGAATACTTTTGTTTCCTATTAGCCTGTAACATTCTAATGGTTCCCTATGTAAGAATCGATTCTCTGAGTAAACAGATTTTCATTCTGCTATCTAAATTGCCACACTTCTAAAAGAGCCTCCTGGGAGATTACCTAATCCACTCCTTTCATTTTATAGATGGGAAAAACCAGGCACAGGAGAGACATATCCAGGGCACAATGCCAGCCGATGATCCGCCATGAGAAAGAACGACAAAAACTAATGAGGGGTCCTTTTGAGATTTCTTAGGTGGGACCATAAACACACTTCCAAACAGAAAGCCCCAAGTGGACTCACATTCCACTTTACTCCCGGCTGAGCACAGAGACGACTGACTGTCGTGTTGTCTAGCTCAGCACCAAGTACTTCAGGAAAATGCACGGGGCTTTATCTGGAGAATGCACAAGTGCTAAAGGTGACATTAGCTCCTGAAGCACTTCCATATAAATGCCCTTCACCTTCCCAGCAGGCACTGAGACCTGAGCTCCAGTTCCTGTTCTGCCACTGACTGGCCATGGGGTCCTGGGCATGGAGACTGCACCTCTCTAAGCCTTGACTTCCTCCCCTCAAAAGGCTGATAATGCACACAGCAGGGTGCACTGTGAGCACTGGGTAAAATGCCAGGAAAGCAACTGATAGAGTGCCTAGCAGCTCATGCACGTCCTCAGTCAGTGTTGGCAAGATAACACATGCACACACAGCAAGGAGTGGAGAACCAGAATGATGGAGCCGCTGCAGAGGCAGGCCGGCCCAGTGGGGGGAGAGCAGTGTAAGAGGGGCTGCTGACCAGGACATGGAAGTGATGAGAGTGGTCAAGGCAGGTCCCAAGGTAAAATGCAGCCTGGCCTTGCAGGGGAAAAGGGAAGTGGAGGAAAAAGGCTGGGTGCAGATGTGAGCTTGGTGTCCAGCCACTGGCAGGGACAGAACCTGTGAGGCCAGGGCAAAGGACGCTGGAGATGGGCAGCAGGGTCATCTGGCTCAGTCCTTAATCTCAAGCCTGGGGTGGGGCTGGGCTCTGATGATTGGTGGTAAGATTGTGCAGGATGTTTTGTTATTACAAGTATTGATGTGAACTCAAGTCCTTCACTCGCTCAGTGCCACTGAGTCGATGCCGACTCACAAAGGCACTATAAGACAGGGTGAGACTACCCCTGTGGGTTTCTGAAACTGTAACTCTTTTTTTTTTTTTTCTTCTTTTTTAACATTTTATTAGGGGCTCATACAACTGTTATCCCAATCCATACACACATCAATTGCGTAAAGCGCATTTGTACATCGTTTCTCAAAACATTTTCTCTCCATTGAAACCCCCGACATTGGGTCCTAATTTTTCCC